TAATGTCCTTGAAATTAACCCACAACTTGTCTGGTCTTCAGTCATTAGTTTTCATTGTATCTAACCTTTTCTTGAGATGACCTATTCATTAGAAATACCTTTTCTCAACAATATAAATAGCAACTATGTACATGGACCTCAAAGAATGAAATACAAAGAAATCAAAATTGACTGTATCTATAGGAAGAGAAAATGGAAAAACTCAACATCCTTAGTTAGAACAAGGCCAGGGGCTGACTACAGAATAGACTATCAGTTGCTCATCAGCAAGTTCAAGTTCAAGCTGAAGAAAACAAAAACAAGTCCACAAGAGCCAAAGTATGATTTTATGTATATCCCACGTGAATTTAGAAACCATCTCATTAATAGATTTGACAATGAACATCTGCTAAAGGTCACAAATTAGCTAATTGTGGGAATTTTCCTACCGTGTATTTTCCTAGGTCTATGAACGTTCCACCTGACATCCTCTGGCATTCACACCAAGAAAGAAACCTAGGGTGTGATTTTTAAAAGAATATAATACCTATGTACTTCCATTCCTCATTCATCAGGTGAGAAAGCTGATACTCAGACAGGCTAAGTGACTTGCCTAAAGTCAGAAAGCTTTCCAGTGGCAGACCTGAAAATAATTTAGTGCTCACTGGAGAGCAAGAAAGGCAAAAGTCATTTCTGTGCCTTTCCAATGCAAGCCCTCAATGCACACCTGAAATAGTTTAAATCAGGTTTGCTATATTTTCGGAAAATAATTTTTTCTTACAAACTCACCAAACAGGGCACTTTCCATAGTGCCACACCATTTTTTAGGGGAAGCACAACAGCTCTCTTCTATGTCAGAGTTTTCTCTTTCTACCTCCCTTTTACTTCTCTTACAGAACCATTCTTCATTGTTCCAAACTCAAACATAAAATTCCTATCACCCTGGAAGACAGCCTTACCCACAACTGCCCCCTAGCCTAGACATGCTGTGCTCCTTGCCCAAAATCCATTTCCTTCTCAGAACTGAGGCAAATCCTGGGCTTTAGCATTCCTGCTACACTCCCCCAAGGTCTTTGAGAGGTAATGAAGATTACAGTGTCTTCTCCAATTCAGTAGCCCAAGGTGATGCTTTCTGTTAAGTTATTTTTAGGTTATATTAGTGGCATACCTAGAGTGCTAATTAACTGGTCAGGAGGACTATGAAATCACAAGATCACCCTGTGTAGAGATGTCTGAAGCAATCTTTCTAAGCATAATATGTAGCATTCCTTTCTCATCACTTACTGCAAAGTACATCATGCATAAAAATCAAAACAGTGTTTCAATTAAGGTTAATTCTTAATCAAGACTTGGTATACAATACTAGTTGTATTTTTATAGTCATAAAAGCAAAGATGCACACTGCCATACATAATATTAAGTAAAATTATTCAAGGCTTAGAAATATTGGAAAGTGCTCATGGTGTTAGAAGCGTTAATGTTGTTGTTACTGTTGTTAAATGCCATCGAGTGGATTCTGACCCATAGCAACACTGTATAGGTTTTCCAAGGAGCAGGTAGTAAGCTTGAACCACCGACCTTGCAGTTCAAACGGCTTTGCAGTCTGATGCATTAGCCCACAGTGCCACACCAGAACGCCAGAAGAGTTAGTAGTAGCCATAATAATAGTTGTAGAAGTGGTAAAAGTGATAAGTGGTTCAAACCAACCTGATAGCAATGAGTTTATGGTTTTCGGTATCATGTATAAGCCAATGGACTAAGTGCCTTACACTAAGTATCTTGTTTAAGTGTCAGAAGCACATTAGTGTTCTTCCCATTTTGTAGAAAGGCAGCATAAAGTAAATACAAGACTGGGGTAGTATCCTAAGTTCTAAGATTTTAACTCTGCTTTGCGGTATGATGGAATAATCTTGGACTGTCAACCATCGTACAATCACATTTCTCACTTCCTTCACTTCACTTTATGATCGAGGTCAACAAACATAAACATATGAAACTCCTTCAATACAGACCTGCCTGAGATTTCCCATTAACACGTAAGCACCAACTAGTTGCTATGGGGTCAATTCTGACTCATGGCGATCTCATGTGTGTCAGTGTAGAACTATGCTGCATATGGTTTTCAATGGCTAATTCTTTGGGAGTCGATAAAAAGGTCTTTCTTCCAAAGTACCTCTGGGTGAATTTGAACACCCAGCCTTTCGATTAGTAGCAGAGGACATTAAATGTTTGCGTTATAGAGCTCAAGTCCTATAAGGACAAAGACATTATCTTCTTAACTGCTGAATCCCAGAACCTAAAACAGTACTTTCCTTATCCTATGTTGGTGATGGTGGTTATGTGCCGTGGAGTCAGTTCTGACTCATAGTGACGCTGCATAGGGTTTCTGAGGCTGTAAATCTTCACTGGAGCAGAAAGCCTCATCTCTCTCCCATGGAACAGCTAGTAGTTTTAAACTGCTGCCCTTGAGGTTAGCAGCCTGACTCGTCACCAGTACGCTACCAGGTATTTAATATATCTTTGTTGAGTAAGTAAATAGACAATAGGTGAAAACAAAACAAAACAAAACGACTATAATAAACATTAAATTTTCAATGATTTGCTTTTCATTCTCAATTACTAGAGGATTTTTTGGTGACCTGATTTATGTTGCCAGAGTTTCTTAAAAGGATTGGGTAGGATGTCTGAACTGATAAGATCATTATATTTTAAATAATATCCCTGCAGCTAGCACAGATGTTCAAAATAATTCTATTGACTAGGCTTAAGAAGAAGGGGAAAAAAAAAAAAAAAAGCTTGTAATTTTCTTACGATTAGTGTCCAGATGACTTTGAACATTAAATACTTCATTAAACACCAGAGATACCATTTTAAATTTGGCAACTTCATTCATCAGTAGACAACAACAGTCTTTGAGCACCTACATATGCCAGGCTCTGACACAAAGTGTCTGGGAGTACATCACGTAGTGACATGTGAAGGCTAATGAGATCCCCACCTAGAATGGCACATCTGTGCTCCTTGCTGCTCCCTTCCTCTCTGCACAAACACTCCCTTGGTTTTCTAGAATTAAGTGAACAACACAACAGAATTTTCAGTATAATTGACCTCCTTGGCAAGTTTTTTTGAGTGTGTTTCCTTCCTTGCTGGTGAGAATGCAAAGAAAAAACACCTGAAAATTATACATTTCATGCAAGGAACAAAGGTTGTAATTTTGATAGACTTTTATGAAATTTTAGGAAAATTGTGTTTTGTTTTGTTTTCAAGGGAAATTGTCCAGTTTTGAATTAGCAAGCTTTATGGTCAATATAACAGGTTGGGCAATATTGGGTTAAAATAAAAATATAAATTTAAACTTTAAAAATAAAATGGTTTGCTGCATGACAAATGTCCAGAAGGTTGGAAAGATTAGGAGCTGTAGCAAAAGGTTGATGGTGATATTTGGTATGTTTGTATTAGGACTCAGACATGTGGTTGATTTCAGGATGGTTTCTTCTAAATAAAAGCAAATAGGAAGCAAAAAATAAAATAAAATGTGCTCTTACTGATTTCTTTGCACTGGTGGCAGCATTTACCACTAATTCCAGTGAGGAAAACATCCATCCCAACCAAAAACCATCTGCAGTTAAGTTGATTCAGTCACATTTTGACCCAATAGAAAAGAGAAGATTGTAAATCTTCACTGAAGCAGACTGTCACAAATTTCTTCCGTGAAAACAGCTGGTGGGTTTGAACTACCAACCTTTCAGTTAGCAGCTGAGTGCTTATCCACTGTGCCACCAGAGTTCCTGAACAGTATTTAGGTTATTCAAATACAAAATACAAAACAAAAAAATACAAAACAAAAACCCAACAATCTGTGAGTCTATGGAACAAATTACATGTATTTATTACTTTATTTATATACATGTATGTATTTTATTTATTTATATACATGTATGTATTACTTTATTTTGGAGTCTGTTTCCTTTTTAGTTTCTGCTTTTAGGGGGGAAAAGTTAAATTGTATTGTTGTTAAGTGCTGTAGAGTCAGTTCCGACTCATAGCGACCCTGTGTAGGGTTTTCGAGGAGTGGATGGTGAGCTGGAATCACTGACCCTGTGGTTTAAATTGACCTTGCAGTCCAGTGCATTAACCTGCAGCACCACACCAGGACTCTTAAATTTATATTACCCTGAAGCAAACTTATTTTTTCAAATACCTATAAAGTGTTGTTTTTTAATTGACTAAAAGAAGGTATCAAAGTAAGGGTTTATGTCACATTTCCTTCACAGCATTTTCCATCACAATGTTCTGTTCATGTAACATAATGTAATTACCTCCAGGAAGGTTACATGGCATTAAACAATGATGAGAGAAGTTTTTGGTTTGAACTCACATTATGACATGATACTGTTTGCATGCTATTCTTCTGTGATTAGTTGTGGCACATTGCTCATTCAGAGAGAAAGTGGCATATGGATAGATAGATAGAAAGATAGATAGATAGATAGATAGATAGATAGATAGATAGATAGATAGGAATAGCTGACTATTAGTTCCATCAGAGAACCAAAATACTTTTAGTCACTTCAAAATCCCTAATATAATAAATGAATCATTGCAATAGCATCATAGCAGAGTTGAGATACTAGACTGAAGAACTGTGCAGCAGCCATGATTACATACTAATACTCAAACAGCATTATGACCACAAACATTATGTGTAAGTCAGAAAGAGTTTGGCCAATATAAAAGTCAGTGAAAAGTACAAAGCTTGCAAATTAACATACCCTTCATATTTCTGATGGGTTTCTGAGCATAAACATGATTTTTAATTTGGCACAAAGAAATAAAACTAGATATGTTCATAAACCTGTTGGTCCATCTGATTCTGCTTAGCTCCAGCAAAATAAAAATCCTTGTTGAATGCATTAAAATATTAAATGGTTATATTTTTAATTTGGAATGAAGATGTTCAGTGTTATTGTTCCTCCAATCTCTAAGAGGCAGCATATTGTATTTTAAATGACAATACTCACAGTTATTGCCTGCTCTGTTACCCCGCTGTCCAGCTGAATGTTCTGGCTCCTTGTATGGAAATTGTAGAGTTGTATCTAAGGTTCTGAACCCTTCTTTAAGAGAATGATGCTTGTAGTATTCCACAAGTTCCTTCAGGGAAATGGATGAAGAATTATTTTTGATAAGGATACTTCTGTCCTCAAACACATGAACTCCTTGACATATAATCCTATGCACTATTAAGAATGATCCACTAATTCTAAGTTCTCCACAAGTATATGGAAGAGTAGGCAAATGACCACTTTTTCCTGCTTTTCTTGATATACTTGGTACCGTTTTAGTAATTGTCCTTGTTACTTGTTGTTATTGTTGTTAAGTGTTGACTCATAGTGACCCTGAGGAGCAGCTGATGAGCTTGAACCTCTGATCTTACAGTTCAAACCAACTTTGCATTATCTTACAGTGCTGTACCAGTACTTGTTACTTAGTCCACTTATAATGTGAGTTACCGCCTATTGTTACTCATGGATATAAAACATCCTGTTAGTCTTCAATCAAATGTGGTAGATAAAAAGAAACCATACCAAACTTCAATTTCAAAGTAGTAATTATTGTTCTTATTTACGACATACTTGCCTTTCTAAACACTAACAAAGAGAACAGCTGTTTGCTGAATATATAGCAATTTCAAGTTTCCTGCATTTATTTTTTAAATGGTGGAAAAACAATCTTGATCATAAATGTACTTTTCTAAGGTCAACCAAAGTTTATAAACCACAAATGTTTTATGGTGAAGTGTTAGTGTCCATGCTGAAACTCAGTGTATCATCTGGTACTCATAGAGAGCAATAATGTAGTTATTTACAATTTTCTTTTATAAATAATTTGTCTTCAATACATCCAAGCCTAATATAATAGCCATCTTTCAGACTAAAAACTTCAGGAAATCTCTTTTGAGATGCTGGTTTTGTTGATTCTGCACAAATCTTAATGTTTCTACTTTAAACTGAATTTGAGTAAGAATTCATTCAAAACAGAAAAAGTATATCTTACAATTAGATAAGAACTGCACATATATAATTTCATAGAAATATCAGAAATAAACTTGAAATCAAAAGCACTTTTAATCCAGCTATTTGGCATTATGATGACAGTACTAATCTTTAAAACAAACACTGTGAAAAATTAAACACATTCCCTCTAAAAGTCACACTACTATCAGCTTAATACCTATGGTTATGGTAGAAAGTACCCAAATAAATAAATCAGGCAGAAAACAACAACAACAAAAAAACCAACAAAAAAAACACTTAAAGAAGAAAACTAGTATTATCAATAATTTATTTATAATTTATGAGCAAACTTAGAATGAACTGTGGACTATATTGTGGAATACAAGGGTCACAAAGTTTACAAAAATAAGGTTCCTGCCCTAGAGGAGTTCTCACCCTTGTATGAAGCGAGGGGTCAGGGGAATTCCAAGCCAGGAGAGAGAATTACCTTTTGTATATCCCATGGGGAGAATAGGGGGAGGTTTCACCATGGCCTGACTTACACTGAAGAACAGCCAAGAAGGGAGGTTTTCGATAGAGCAGCCAGAATAAGAACTAACAATCAAATACGACGGTGTAATCAAAACATTCCAGGATTAACAGAAGCTAAGGGACTTTACCAAAGCCAACCCTGCGCTACAAAACATCCAAAAGGGAGTTCTATGGATTGAGAACCAACAAGAACAGACAACAACCAGAGAATGACATGTGTGGCAGCACTTCCCAGAATTAAATTGACAGAAGGAAAAGTCAAGAAAAGAACAAAACTATAAGAACAAACTCAGAGAATCTGAGAGGCCAGTCTATGATCAAACCAAGTACAATATAAAAGAAGGTAAACACGTAGGACAGAGATCCAGCTGGTAAGAAGGTGAGGTAGATTACAGGATAAAATAGACTGCAATAAATGGAGAGAAAAGTTAATGGACTATAAAACAACCTCAAAGAAAATTAACACTTTCACAACATACCAAGAAAATGAAAATCCAAGAACATGGAAACATTAAAACTATGAGGAAACTCACAAGAAAGAACATAAAAACCATGAACTTAACAAAGGAAGACACACAGAACAAAGAAAGCAGCTACACCACAAAGAAACAAACATAATGGCAGCAATTAATCCATACGTATCGATAATTACACTGAATGTAAATGGCTTAAATGCACCTGTTAAGAGACGGAGCGTGGCAGAATGGATAAGAAAACAAGATCCTTCAATATGCTGTCTGCAAGAGACACATTTCACACACACAGACAAAAACAGATTAAAAGTCAAAGGATGGAAAAAATATACCAAGCTAATTGCAATAAAAAACGAACAGGAGTGGCAGTACTAATCTCTGATTAAATAAATAAATAAATAAACTTTAAGGCAAAAACCAGCATAATAGATAATGATGGACATTATCTCATGATTAAAGGGACAATTGAACAAGATGACATAACCATAATAAATATCTATGCTCCCAATGAAAGAGCTCCAAAATACAGAAAGCATACTCTAATAGATTTGAAGAAATAGATGAATCTACAATAATAGTGGGGGATTTTAATACACCGCTTTCAAAAATGGATAGAACAACCAGAAAGAAACTTGACCAAGACACAGAAGAACTAAACAACACAATCAGCCAACTAAACCACATTGACATGTACAGAGCATTCAACCCAACAACTGCACAATACACATTCTATTCCAGTGCACATGGAACATTCTCCAGAATAGACCATATCTTAGGCCACAAAATAAATCTTCATATATTTACAAATATCAAAATACTACAAAGCATCTTCTCAGACCATAATGCTATCAAATTAGAAATCAATAATAGACAGACCAAGGAAATAAAGTCATATACATGGACATTGAATAACACCCTGCTGAAAAGCGACTGGGTAGTAGAAGAAATTAAACGTGAATTCACAAAGTTCCTAGAAACAAATGAGAACAAAAACACTACACACCAAAATCTTTGGGACATGGTGAAAGCAATGCTGAGAGGACAATTTATTGCAATAAATGCACACATCCGAAAAGAAGAAAGAACCAAAATTAACACATTAACACAGCATCTACAACAACTAGAAAGAGAACAACAGAGGGAACCTACAGCCACCAAAAGAAAAGAAATAAAGATTAGAGCAGAAATAAATGAGATAGAAAACAGAAAAAGTGTAGAAAGAATCAACAGAACAAGAAACTGGTTCTTTGAAAGGATTAACAAAATTGACATAACATTGGAAAACCTAACAAAAGAAAAGAGGAAGAAGACACAAACAACACGCATTAGAAACCACATGAGTGATGTCACAACGGAACTAAAGGAAATCAAAGGATAATAACAAAATACTATGAAGAGTTGTACTCCAACAAATTTGAAAACTTAGAAGAGATGGATACATTTTTAGATAAACATGACCTGCCTAAACTTACACACAGTGAAGTATAAAACCTGAACACTTTATGGGTGAGGGGAAGGAGGGGAAGGTGGAGCACAGTGTAGGGAATAGACACAGGATATTTGGGTGCTGGGGAGGGGGGCAATATACAAGAAGTGGGAGGGGAATGGACGAACAAAGTGGATGGGAGAAAAATTAGGCAGGTTTGCATGGGCTAAGTGGGACAAAGGTAAAGAATGATGTATGCACAACCTTGGAACAACAGGGCTCTGGGATACAGGGATTTAGATGATGACTGGAATGGGGAAAAGGGGGGAAATAATGTTAAGATGATTGCCTGTCTTTTGAATCTTGTTTTCCCTTGCATACCATTACTAAATAGACACTGGAGGGGGAGAGAAAGGAATAGCCAGAAATATCACCATAGAAAGCTTGTAAGTCTGTCTTCTGCCTATAACTGATTGGAATACCTAAAATGGGGCTACAACATGTCTAGTGAAGGAGGCTCCTGCGCAGCCTCTGCATTACATGAGACTATAGGTGGAAACCTGAGCCACATCCAGAATCTTCAGAGGTGGGAAATTTCCACTTGAAAGGATGGGCAGACCAGCCTGGCTTGAAGAACAGAAGACACTTCTTGAAAGAAAGACTGACAGGAAAAATACAAAACAATATAGGCAGACCTACTGATTACTACAAGAACAAGCAAGATGTCTCCCTGGAGACATCAAGGCAGGGGGTCGGGTCCCTTCAGAGCAAACCCCCTTCAAAGACAAATACTCAATGGGAATACACGCTCAGATTGGTGACCATGTTTGTCACCAATAAGGGGAAGTGAGGGAAGCTAAGCCCTACAACACTTAATAGACTCCTGTGAACCAGGGTGGAGACCTGGTTGGCCAGCAGTATGGCAATACCTGGGGACTCTTCAGCCCAGAGTCAGTGACATTGACACAGAGGACTAGAGTGGAGAGTGAAGTGTCCAGCTGATAAGAAGAAAGGGCATATTCACAAGAAAACCCACACTTGCAGATAATACGCACTTGACCTGGCTTCATTGACTGGGTGATCAGAGCTCAACTAGAAGAAGAAAGAAGAGGGGAAAAAAAAGTAATCTGATACAATTTGGTAAACTTGACCTACACCTATGGATGCATTAGTTTAAAAGAGGAAACTAATCTTTATAGCAAGGATCATTCCCACCCCCTCCACACACAAAGCAGACCGGGATGGCCAAGGACATTGGCTACCCAAAGTAGGTGGTGGTGGTGGTGGTGGTGGTGGTGGTGGGGGTGCTAAAAAGGCAAGAAGTGACTGGCTTATAAGCTTTCAAGAGGGAACCTAGATCCAGAGGGCATGGAGGAAGGTAGAATCTCCACTGAGTAGTATCCAATCTGTCTAGGTTGGGCTGATGAAAGGAGACGGGGATACAATAGTGAATAATTGTTATCAGGACTGATTGTGAGGGTTGGAAATGTAAAGGTAGACATTTTGTGGCAAGGAGGGGAGTGATGAACTTTGCAGTCTAGGAGCGGAGGTCCCTGGGACCATCAAGGGAGAAGAGCCCAGAGCGGGATCCTACCCAGCAAAGCAGTGACAAAGGCAGAGATGAAGACATGGCAAGATGGAGCAGCTGGGGTCTTTAGACTCAGAGAGGGAGAGGGACTGTGTGCTGACGACCAGGGGGCAGGCTTG